TAAAACCTTCGCAATGTCCGACCACGGGTAGTTCATTTTGTAGCTGAAGGGAATCTTCAACAGTTCTCATCATTCTTTATTGCGCATGTGAGAAAATGAAGCCTCAGAGAGACATTTCTGCCCAAGTTTACTCCGCACTTTAGTGAGAGGAAGAAAAAGAAAGCACACTCTAGCCGGGTTCCCGCCTTGCTGCGCTGGGAAAATGATATTCTACTCTGGAGACTGGGAAGTTGGGAAACTGAGGCACACTTCCCAAGCACTCTGAGCCTGGCCACTCCTGAACACTATCTCCACTCTGTGAGGAGGGCACCACCCCCGCCATCTTAGGAAGGAACAAGCTGAGGTGGGCCCCTCACCGACTGACAGAGGCCACGCAAGAACCCCGACTTCCATCCAGACCTTTCCTTCCTGCACAGTTTCCGCTCTCCTTCACCATACAGCATGATCCAGAAAGACACAACCATGTGTACATGGTCATGGAGAGAAAGTCACATTCTTTTCTCAAAAAGATGATTGAGTCTGAAGTCCCCCATGCAACGCTCTGTTGACCTGTTCTTTTAATCGCCCGTCTTGAATTACACACACACACACACACACACACACAAACACACACACGCGCGCGCGCCAATAAAGAAAGCTACATGGATATTTTTCCTGAAAACAAGAACCATTAGAAATAGCCTAAACATCCGCCAAGAAGGAAATACTGGAAAAAGCATGATGCATGAGTTTGCAAAGTGGTCATGAGGACCAAACATGGAAGTCACCCGGGACTGTGATTCAAGCTATGATCTACAAAATCATCTACTCTGGTGATACTTTTATTGCTTCATTAGTTTGCTAATCATCAATCCCCAGCAACGATCACCTTCTTTTCTCCAGCATCGGAGCAAAAGCAGGAGAAGAAAAGAGTGCATTTGCTTAGCTTTAAGACAGAATGTCAGTTTAGCCGTTTGAAATGATCTTTTCTCCAGGTCCAAAATAAACAGCTGGGTCTGACAGCACAGACCTGCCACACCAGCTACCAGGAGGCTGAGGCAGGAACGTCGCCAGTTCAAGGTTGACCTGGACTATAAAGTGAGTAATAGTCCAGCAGGCCGGGCAATTTAGTGAGATCTTGACAAAAGAAAAAATGGAGGTGGGGGGATGGGGACATAGCTCAGTGGTAGAGTGTTTGCCTAGCATGCATGAGGTACTGCTCGTACCCCCAGGGCAAAACAAGCAAAACTGAACAGTAGAATTTCACACGGTTGAACACAAACACTTTAATAACTGCCTTTTAAAATCTTTAACTTTGTAACTCATGTTGAATTATTCTATTCACCTTTGCTCCTTTAATTCCTGACTTTTTCATTTAGTTTTGTTTTTAACATTCACAGTTTAGTACTAAGTTGTCGAGAGGAAAGATCCAAATCCAATAGGCCACCTAATAAAGCATTAAAGTTAATTGTGTGAAAACATGGAGACTCCCTTTACCCACTCACCTTCTAATTCACTCAAAAAACCACTGGACTATGTATTGTGCGTTGACTATGTTCTAAACACTGTGCTGAGCACTGGGGATATGTCTCAGAGCAAGCAAGGGTGTCCTCAGGGACTATGGTCACCATCCTCGGGGACTGTGGTCACCGTCCTCGGGGACTGTGGTCACTATCCACACATAGTGCAAAGTGACTGGTTCCAGCTAACAGGTCGAATGGCATGGTTTAATTTTTTTTTCAACCACATTCTCTGAATATTTGTTCCCGTTGGTTGTCATTTTGTCAAAGTAGTAGCTTTGTCATGAGTGGAACTAAAAAAAAATCAATCTGAACTATTTCTGACCTTTATTTAATTGGTTACCTGATCTAGAGATATAAAGGCAAGCGGGAAAAGGGTATTCTCCAATTGTGTGCCTATACTAATTGAATCTAAAGCGAATCTCTGCTGTGCCTAGAACCTACTAAATGAAAATAGAAGACACATACCTGCTGGGTGACTTTTGAAAGAAAAGGTGTATATTCAGTGAAAATTAAATCTTATTTTTATTTACTTTTTTTTATGTAGTGTCTCACTATGTAGCCCAGGCTGGCCTTGAACTCACAGAGATCCACCTGCCTCTGCCTCCCAAGTGCTGCGATTAAAAGCATGCCCCACCATGCACCCAGCTAGTCTTATTTTTTAAAGAATAAAAGCAAACCTAAACATAATGCTAAATGAATAGAGCGGCTTAATAAACGTAGGCTGAAGTCTCAGGGCTGTTAGTGGAGGTGTTTTGTAGCAATAAACGTAGTGTCTAGTCTACCAAGTCAGAGCAGGGCTGAAGTAGGGAAGTGAAGCGGAAGGCTTGGAAACAGTCAGCGACTGGAGGGCCAAAGAAACGGCGAAAATGCCATCTACGAAACACTATCGACGCCATCACTTGCGTTTCCTTCAAGTCCACTTCCAGAAGCATCACCCAAGATTTGGTGTTGGAGGTATTTGTCTATAACTCCCTAGTCAGTGTCCAGCCACGCCAGCAGAGCTGGGCGGTCACCCTGAACATGTTGACTACGTGTGTATTTTGCTCTGAATTCCCCCCTCTTCTCTGTTTACGTTTTTCACTCTGAAGGAACATTTTCCTACACGGGGTTTTGGAGATACTGAAATCGTAGATGCAAGGTTCATCCTACGTCCACCCCAGGTTTTGATCCACATTTGCCAGGGGACCCACCACTGGGTTTCTGTCCTGGTGTCGGTGTGCCCAGAATTCAGAGAAGGGACAAGTTGCATACTCTGAAGAGGAGATGCCTGTTGGTGCTTTAGAAGTTAAGAATCTCAGCCATATGTTTCCATTTCCTGCTCCTAATCATCAGTTCAATGTCTGTTTATTGGTTGTATATATATATATATATATATATATATATATATATATATATATATATATATACACACACACACATATACACATGTATATCTCTATATGTGAAACACGACATTCACTTCTTGCCTTCACATCTCTGCAAGGAAGGCATTAGTGTCTTTGCTTTAGAGGAAACCTAACAAGGCCCAGGAGCATCAAGATCCACTAGGTTGCTTAGGGACTTGCTACTAGGAAACATTATGATTGGCATGCCCCTGCCTGCTGCCTTCTTGGAAGCAGAGCTTCTTACAAACCCGAGGCTTCACACTGGAGATGTGTTTCCTCACTAGAGAGTGGACAAAGACTGTACTGATCCCTGGGTTCATTCTTCGCCATGGTGGGGGCAGTTAGAAGGACCAAGAAGCTGACGGTTGGCAGACAGACATGTTCTGTGCCACCCAGCACTCCATCTTAGCTCTTCCTGCCTCAGGGCCTGGACATGGTCATGCGACATTTAGTGGACTGATAGTTCAACACTTGTTTAGACCCCAGTGTCTAGGCTTTCCCAAAGAAACGCAAATGGGAAAGGCATAGGCCTCCTGGGTTTTGGTGGAAATGGCCACAGGCCTCCTGCCCTCCGGGTGGGGTTTGTTTACTGGTCTCAGCAACCACCACCAACCCAGCCACCCTTCATTTCTCTCCCTAACTCCCCTAAGCTCCTACTGGAGCTCCAGAGCTTGCCGAGCTGGATCAGGGAGGAGCAGATAGAAGTGGAGAGGGTTGACAATCTCCTCCCTCCAGCTCTTGGGAGCCTGCAGCGCCCAGTCCAGAACTGTTGCCTGCCGCAGCCGCCCCTGAAGTTAGTGAACCTCTCAGGCTGTGAAAATGTTTTGCCCCTGCCCATGAGGCAGGGCTGCTGTGGGCTCCCTCCGGAGGTATCACCCCACAGTACCCTGTGAGTCATACCCGCCAGGCCCTTTCTGAGAAGAGCACTATGAGCATGCAGAAAAGCCGATTGTGGAGCCCTCACAACCCCCCCCCCCCCCCGGTGCCAGCCCAGCGCTGTTGTGTTCCCTGGTGGTTAGCAACCATGATGGTGGCCGTTCCTGCCCTCCCAACCTTGCCACTCCATGAACTACCGGAGGCGAGTTGTAAAATGGAGGAAGGCTGCTCCTTACAGGCACCATCCTTTGTTTCTCTAGAGTCAAACAGACACTGTCCCATTTCTTGAAAAAAACACCACGTCCCTCCCCACCCCAAGTCTGAACTAGGAAGTGTGCTAAGGCTACACCATGCAGAAAAAGCCAGGCCTCCGAGGGCTGCAGTGAGCACAGGTACAAATTCTCTTCTGGGCTGCCTGTGACTCCTGACCGGGACTTAGCATGTATTCTCCTCCCTGTTCCCGGCATTTCTGTCGCTGTCTCTGGCTGCTTGGGTCCGATAGGGAGCCGCGTGAGTGTGTCACGGAGGCAGAGATGGGTGTGTCCACAGGGCTGGCGGCCATGGCATGGGGACAGCACCGAGAGGGTGGCCATAGACTTGAACCTCTGGGCCAGAAAGTGGCAACTGTGCCTTGCAAAAGGCCACCAACACACATGCTTCCTGGTACACTTGCCTCCATCTGGTCCCCTTGGCTCTACCCCTACAAGGTGTTCCAGGTCATCCGGGGCCACAGGCTAGGTAGGACCCTCCCCGACTGACCATGGTAATGTCACTTGTTGGCAAAGGAGGAAAGAACGGGGCAGAGTGGCAATAACAACCCGAGGGGGAAGGAAGGAGACGTGATATCTGGAAGGCAGAACAGAGCACGGCCTAGCTGGTGTTCCCGATCGATGGTGCGCGGCTGCCGCTGATAACGCTGTCTCTCTCCACGCCGACCTGCCTCGGTTGCTCTTTGCTTCGTTTCCCCTCACCCTTTCCCTCCACAGACTTTCTCCTCTTTCTTTATCAATGGACAACCTACAACTGTGTTTTCAAACAGCGGGCACTGAACTGGTACCCAGCATGGCTGTCACAGGACAGGCACCTGCGTGGGACCCAACCCGGTCCTGCCCCTCGGTCCATGGACTTTGGGAGGACAGGTTTGAAAAGAAACCCTAGGTCCTCCGCACCCGTCTGCTGCCACTCAAGCACACAAAGAGCCTCGAAAAGAGCCCAGCCACGGAAACGGCACCCTTACCTGCTCCTGGGACCTGCGCCTGAAGGATGACGCCAGCGAGAACAGCCACCTTCCACTTCATCTTCTACCGCCCCGGGATGGTGCCCAGAGGCAGCTGAGCCTGGGAGGATGGGAGAGAGGGAGGTGTGGAAGGAGTCTCTGTAGGCTTTGCTCTGTGGCTGCCACCCCAGGAAGTGGAGGACCGTGGGCCTTTGAGACAGCACCTGCCAGCTACGCCAAGACACGCTCACACTCCCCCTCTCGGTTCACAGGCAGGAAGCTCTGGAGGTTTGGGGGTTTAGGGTGTAAGAATGTGTATCCGTCTGAATTTGCTTTTTCTTCTATTTGACTGTGCTTTTTACGTACTTTATTTTCTTCTGATTCCTGACTCATTTGTGCCTGACTCCCGATTGCTGAAGTCGGACCCTGGGCATATCTAAGTTCCCAGTGCACGTAAGAACACTGGCCCTTGTGGAGGCCGGAGGAGTGACAGGGTGGCTAAATGTGGAGATCGCCACTTCCCTGGTCGCCTTGTGACCTTGCCTGAAGCATTCAGCATCTCCAGACTTCAGGCTTCTTAATCTAAAGGGCAAAGAAAAGGGATCATTGGAGGTATAGTTCTGAACTTGGCTTCATTTCAGGCCATAAATAGCGTGAAATACTGTAGCTCACTTCGTTTTCAAAATTCTTTTTCCCCCTAGACAGGATTTCACTGTTCAGTCCAGGCTGGTCTTGAACTCGATCCTCCTGCCTCAGCTTCCCAGTTGTCTGGATTACAGGCATGTGCCACCAAACCTAGGTCTAATGCATTTCATCCTTGGAGTCATTTACAATAAGAAAAAAGATTAAAAGTTAGGTATAGTGTACATGCCTGTAAATCTTAGCACTCAGGTGGCTGAGGCAGGAGGATTGTGAGTTTGAGGTCAGACTGGACTAATAATACAAGTCCAACTTGTGCTATTTAGTAAGACTGCCTCAAAACAAAATAAAAATTAAAACTGAGAAATAAGCAGAACTAAGAGCTGTGAGAGGTATATGTAAAACAAACTTTGAGACAAGACTGAGACTGTGGAAAGAAAGATGTAGCTTTTCTCCTTTGATTAAAAAAAATCTCTCTTAAGCCCACAGTTACTTCTAAATTAATTAATTAATCTACCAAATTGAAAGACAATATTATCAAGTCTGGAGGCAGAGCCATGGCTCAGGTACTTCCTTCCAAGCATGACAACCAGAGTTCTACCCCAAAGCCTACATGGTGGATGAGAAAAACTCATTCTTGCAAGATGTCCTCTGAGCTATACACACACACACACACACAACATACACATACACACATGCACACCACATACATAATAGAGAAGCTATCTAATATTAACCTCTGGCTTCCACCTGCATGTTCATGTACACAACACACATACACAAACATCCACATACATATACACCACACAGACACACCCTACACACACACACACACACATACAGACACACCCATGCCGCACACACAGACATACACGCACAAATAAATGTTAAAAATATGTTAACAAATTTTTTTAAAAAAATAGGCCGATTCCAGAGTTTATATGAAAAACTTGACGTGTAAGAATAGCTAGACCACAGAAGGCACAAACAATCAAAACCAAAATACATAAATTAGACATCATCAAATTTCAAAAGTTCTATGGATCAAAAGGAACTAGGAAGAAAATTTAAAAAATAATTCACAGAGTAAATGGAAGTATTTGCAAATCATAAACTGACTATGGTCCAGTACTCAGAATATGTAAGTAAATCTACAATTCAATAAGTTAAAAAAATTAAAATTAGCCAAAGATCTAAACTGCCATTTCTTCCGAGAAGGTAAACAAATGGCCAACATGCACATGAGAGACTCTCAGTGTTCCTCGTCACTAGGGAGATGCATGTCAAAACCACAGAGCCACAGGACAACACAACAGTCAATGTCTGTGTGGACGAGGACGAGAAGAAACTGATGTTGCCACTGGCGCTGGAAAGTGGCGAGGGCCTGTGCAGAGCAATTTGACAGCTCCTTAAAATGTTAAACAGAGTTACCACATGGCCCAGAAACTACCAAGTATAGACCCGGAAGAATTGAAAACATATGTTGTACAGAAGCCGCGTACAGAAACGATCTTGACAGCATTATGTATAATGACCCCAGACTGGAAACAATTCGCCACAGCTGAGGAATGGACAAGCGGCCGTGGGGGGTCAAACAATGGGGTATAACAGCCATGAAAAGACGCGAGGTACTGTGAGATGCTACCGTTTCAGGCACGGGAAAAAGAAACCAGACTAAAAAGGCCACTTACGGTATGACTGTTTATATAAAATAGCCAGACGAGGCAAATCCAGGAGAAAGTGGATTAGTGAACCAAGGAACCGAGGAGAAGCAGGCAATTGGACGAGCTAACGGCTGCTGTGAGGTTTCTGCAGGGGACGATGAAACGTTTTAGAATTAGATGATCGTGTGCCAGAGAATTGAAGATGCTAAAAACCGCTGAAGTGCACGTGTTAAAAGAGTGGATTTGTGACACAAAAATTCTCTCCCAATATAAAATAAAGCTAGAACAAATAAAATGTAAGGGATGTGAAATAATCGGCCAGCTAGCCCAACATTAGGAATGAACACCATTGCTAAACGGTGTCTATGACATTATCAGCTCTGCTACCCTGAACGTGCCCAATCATATTTGATCTCACTTCCAAGCAGGCTCAGGCCTGGCTTGTGCTGGGCTAGGAGACTTACACATCCAATTAGTCAAGTTGTTTTAGATAAAAGTAAAAGAAAACTTCAGTAGCACATTGATAGACTTTTAAGTAAGCGGTCCATACTAGATCAACTGGATTATCTATGAGGGGACATACACTGTTCTTATGTCATGCTGTACACAGACATTACCCAAAATGCATCATATATGTAAACACAAAATCCAAAGCAGTAACACTGCTGGAATGAAACATGGGTGAGTGATGTCTGTAACAAAACACAAAAGCACATCTCATATAAGAAAATGATAAACTGGGTCTCATCAAAACATCTTTCTGAAGATGCCATTAGAAAGCACAAGAGCAAGCCATAAGGAAAGAAAATTATTTGCAAACACATCTGTTAGGCTATCTAGAATATCTAAAGAATTCTTTCTTAATAGTAAGATAACTCGCTAGGGAAATGGGCAGAAGGTTTAAATACACAGTCCCCAAAAGAAGGTATGTCAATGACCGATAAAGAGATAAAAAGATGCTGGACATTATGAATAAGACAAAACTGCAGTGAGGTACTATCAGGTGTTTCCTAAAATGTGGGCTAACTAGAGTTCTCACATACCAAGGTTCATCTGTCTGTCCTGTTGTTTCCAGAGGCAACCATCACCCCCCCCCCCAAGGCTTCTCCACCAGAGGCCTGACCAGCACCTGCCCTAGTGTATTGACCCAGGCTGTGTCCACAGTCCTTAGCCGAGGGGGACCAGCAAATAGCAGGAGGCTGGTGCAAATCATTTCCCTCAGCAAGCACTATTTATTTATTTGTTTGTTTATTTGTTTATAAATAGAGACAGGGTTTCTCTGTGTAGCCCTGGCTGTTCTGGAACTCTCTCTGTAGACTAGGCTGCCTCTGCCACCACATCTGGCTCTATAATCTTTTTTTTTGGGGGGGGGCAGTAGCAAGGACTGGCTTGTAACTTCCTATGTAGATGAAGATGACCTTGAGTTTCTTAGCTTCCTATCTCTATTTCCCAAATGCATGGGTGTGCCACCATGCTCAGTTTATGGGGGGTGGAGAGTATGGATCAAGCCCAGAAGTTCCTACACAGTAGACGAGCACTCTACTGAGTCACATCCCAGCCCCCAACTTTTTATAATTTTGATGAGGTTGGCAGGTAAGGCAACTCAGCTGCTGTTTCTCTAGAATTTTTTAAGAGATTTATTTCTTTAATTACATGTATATGTGTGTAGGGGAGGGAGGATGCATATATGCCTATAGGCTGCCCCAAAAGGCCAGAGGCATTGAGTCCCCCTAGAACTGGAGGTACATGTGGTTGTGATCTGTTTGCTGTGGGCTCTGGGGACTGAACTCAAATCCTGTGGAAGAACAGTAAGTTCCCCGAACCGCTAAGTCATCTTTCCAGCCCACTTACTTAGAATTCCAAAGTGGCTGTGTGCCGTGAGTCAGGCCGGTAATTCCAGCACTTAGGTCACAATCTCATGGTCACCCTCAACCACAAAGTAAGTTGGAGACCAGCCCAGGGTATAACCCCTGTCTCAAAAAAGCAAAAAAACAAACAAAAATAAAGTCTTCAAAGTGGACTCTGGCCTGGAAAGATCTCCAGTTCCTTGGTCCTGTTTGGCTTCACTCAGGGAGCTGCCTGGGCTGTGTGACTACTGTGAGTACTGCTCCAGAAAACCTGCTTCTGCTTGTTCCCCAAACTCAATTTCTGTCACTGGCAGCCAAGTGAGTCTAATTTATGTGTTGGGATTTGGGGAAATTAAATTAGCTTTCTCCACATAATGAATTATCACAAACATAGTGCCCTGAAACAGCACAGACTTATAATCTTACAGTGAGAGAAGCCAGAAGTCTGGGCACAGCACGCTGGCCCTCGGCCTAGGTACTTACCGGGCTAAGGCCAAGGTGTTGGCTTGGCTATGGTTTGGATCTGCAGCTTCAGCTGCTCTTCCTAACTCACTGATGACTGGACATTTTTCTTACTGCTACAAGAACGAGGTCCCTGTCTTCTTGATCATCACTGATTAGGTATCACTCTCTCAGCCTCTAGAGGACACCTGCAGCTCCTTGCAATATGGCTGTAGTTGTTGATTTTTTACTCTTTGCTCTTGGTGAGGGGAGCACCACCCAGCTCCTAAATAAATACACAGACTTTTTTTTTTCTTAAATGCCCGGCCTTAGCTAGGCTTGTTTCTAGCCAGCTTTTCTTAACTATCCTGTCTACCTTTTGTCTCTAGGCTTTTATCTTTCTCTATTTTATATACCTTTCTTTACTTCTTGCTCTGTGGCTTGCTGTGTAGCTGGGTGGCAGGTTCCTGGTGTCCTCCTCTCCTTTTCTCTCATTCCTTCTCTTTTTATCCTTTTATTTATTCTCTCTGCCTGTCAGCCCTGTCTATCCTTTCTCCTACCTAGTTATTGACCATACAGCTCATTATTAGACCAATCAGGTGTTTTAGACAGGCAAGTTAACAGAGCTTCACAGAGTTACACAAATGCACCATAAAAGAATGCAGCACATCTTTGCATCATTAAACAAGTGTTTTCCAGCATAAACGACTGTAAGACATCTTCAACTAATATCCCACAACATATGGCCTCCCAGAAGTTTTCCCCCAAGCCAACCACAGCACACTCTGCTTTGCTCTTCCAGAGCCAGCAGGAGGAAAGTCTGCTGGGAAAGGGCTTGCCTGATTAGGCCCGACCCACTCCAGGTAACCTCTCCTTTTATCGTGGGTCCCAAGAGAAGCACAGGAGCGCTAGCTCTTCCAGGCACAGGTTTTCTGCAATCAAGGAAGTTGCACTGGCATATGCATCGTGGTGTGGACATTTTGGAGGCCACCCTAGCATCCTGTCTCCTGGAGAGGTGCCACTGGGGAGCAGTGAGCATCCGGCATGCCAAGTAAAGGACTTTTGCCCTTGTGCCCAGGAACGAAGCCAACACAGAGATGGGCAGAGTAAGAGATGTGTAGAAAACATTCAACACACCCATTGAGAACCTGGATTATGCCATGCCTAAAGGCCCGCTTCATGGATTTTTCTGTTTTATGATCCAATAACTTTTTCTTAAGAAAGTTGACTTTAAATCTGAAATTTGCACTTGGAATGCTCTTGATGTTACAGATGCTGAGAACATGTGGCCACTGAGGATGTGATTGACCTGGGCCCGTTTTATTGGGAGGCTTATTTTAGTTGACCCTTCTCTCAAAAGATAAATTGTTTTTTAAGAAAATCAAACCACATTTTGTTAATTCAGCAAGATAAAACGGAGGAAAAGTGTACCAATAAACATAATAA